TAATGACTTGATTTGTGATAATCACATTGACTTGTTTTGCCTTACAGAAACCTGGCTGCAGCAAGAGGATTATGTGAGCATAAATGAGGCAACTCCTTCAAGCTATTTAAATTTTCACATCCCCAGAAGTTCTGGGCGAGGAGGAGGAGTAGCAACAATCTTCGAGTCTGACTTACTGATTCCTCCCAAAACAATTAATTCCTACAACTCTTTTGAACATTTAATCCTTAATTTCCCTGATCCAAATTTCAAGGCAAGAAAACCTCTTCTTTTTGTAACTTTGTATCGTCCACCAGGTCCTTACTCTGAATTTTTAGATGAGTTTTCAGAGTTCCTTTCTGATTTGGTATTAAATACTGACAGGGTCATCATAGTGGGAGATTTTAACATCCATGCTGACATTGAAGGCGATAGCTTAAGAGCAGCCTTTAATGCTATCTTAGACACTATTGGCTTTGTTCAAAATGTGAATAGTCCCACGCATTCTCATCTTCACACTTTGGATCTTGTGCTGACATACGGCATAGAATGTGAAGAAATAACAGTATTTCCTCACAACCCTGTCCTCTCTGACCACTTTCTAATAACCTTCAGGATTACTTTAACAGAGTTCTCCTCCCCCAAAAGAAGGTTCAATTTTAGTAGATCTTTATCAGATAGTGCAGTTATAAATTTTAAAGAATCTGCTTCACTTTCTCTCTGCTCTGTGTCACTGAGCAGTGCTGCAGAGTGCAAAAGCTTAGCTTATTCCCCTTCACAGGTTGATGATTTTGTTTAGGGGGTTGCTAGTTCTCTGCGTATTGCCTTAGACAACGCAGCTCCTTTGAAAATTAAAACCGTTAAAAATAGAAAGCTTGCTCCTTGGTTTAATGCAGAGCTGCGTACTTTGAAGCAAAATGCTAGGAAACTGGAGAGAAAATATCGCTCCACAGGCCTGCGAGAGTCCTTCCTAGTCTGGAAAAATGGTTTACTGCTGTATAAGAGGACCCTTTGTAAAGCAAGAGCAGCATACTTCTCCTCATTAATAGAGGAGAATAAGAATAATCCTAGATTTCTTTTTAATACAGTTGCCAAACTCACCCAGAGCCATAGCTCTGTTGAACCGTCCATTCCACCTGCTCTTAGCAGCAATGATTTTATGGGATTCTTTATAAATAAGATTGATCTTATTAAAAATAAGATCATAAGCACTCCTCTATCCGCGATTGTACCTGAGGTAGTCATGGAATCTGAACCGGGTTTAGACTGCTTTGATCCAGTTGAACTCTCTGAATTACCAAAATTATTGTCTTCATCTAAGTCTTCAACTTGTATGTTAGATCCAGTTCCAACCAGGTTATTTAAGGAGGTATTCCCTTTGATCTCCTCCTCCATTTTAGATGTGATTAATCTATCTCTGTTACAGGGATATGTACCTAAAGCTTTTAAGATTGCTGTAATTAAACCTCTGCTTAAGAAACCGTCTCTTGACCCAGATGACTTGGTCAATTATAGACCTATATCCAATCTTCCTTTCTTATCCAAAATTCTTGAGAAAGTAGTTGCCAAACAAGTTTGCGATCACTTCCACCATAATGAACTTTTTGAAGAGTTTCAGTCTGGCTTTAGAGCTCATCATAGCACTGAAACAGCTCTGGTGAAAGTCACTAATGATATTCTCATGGCCTCAGATAATGGACTTGTATCTGTGCTCGTCCTGTTGGATCTTAGTGCTGCATTTGATACAGTTGACCATAATATTCTTTTAGAAAGACTTGAATATTTTGTTGGAATTAAAGGAACAGCACTAGACTGGTTTAAATCTGATCTATCTGATCGAATTCAGTTTGTTCATGTTAATGATAGATCTTCAACACGCTCAAAGGTTACCTGTGGAATACCACAGGGATCAGTGCTAGGACCAATTCTCTTTACTTTATACATGCTCCCAATTGGTAGAATTATTAGACAGCATGGGATTAATTTCCACTGTTATGCTGATGATACCCAGCTATATCTGTCTATAAATCCAGATGAAGCTAACCCATTATATAGATTACAGGCATGTCTTGAAGACATAAAAACCTGGATGACTCTTAATTTTCTGCTTCTGAATGCAGACAAAACAGAAGTTATAGTCTTTGGACCAGAGTCTCTGAAAAAGAAACTGATTAGCCAGTCACTTCATTTGGATGGGATTAAACTGATTTCAGATAATAAAGTAAAAAATATTGGTGTTATTTTTGATCAGGACCTGTCATTTAAATCCCATATCAAAGAGGTTTCTAGAATTTCCTTCTTTCATCTGAGGAACATTGCAAAAATTAGAAATATCCTGTCCAGGGGTGATGCTGAGAAACTAGTCCATGCATTTGTTACTTCAAGGCTGGACTATTGTAATTCTTTACTATCAGGAAGTCCACAAACTGTAGTTAAAAGCCTTCAGCTGATCCAAAATGCTGCAGCCAGAGTTCTAATGAAAATTAAAAAGAGAGATCATATCTCTCCTATCCTGGCTTCTCTTCATTGGCTTCCTGTTAAATCCAGAATAGAATTTAAAATCCTCCTTCTCACATATAAAGCCTTAAATGGCCAAGCTCCATCTTATATCAGAGATCTGATTGTTCCTTATGTTCCTAACAGAGCACTTCGCTCTCAATCTGCAGGTTTACTAGTGGTTCCTAGAATTTCTAAAAGTAGAATGGGCGGCAGATCTTTTAGTTATCAGGCTTCTCTCCTGTGGAACCAACTACCAGTTTTAGTCCGTGAGGCAGACACCCTGTCTACTTTTAAGGCTAGGCTTAAAACTTTCATTTTTGATAAAGCTTATAGTTAGGGTGGCTCAGGTTATCCTGAGCTATCTCTATAGTTATGCTGCTATAGGCTTAGACTGCTGGAGGACATAGGGACCCCCATTTCATCATTCTGCTTCATTCTCTCTCTGTTCTCCTATTCTGCAGAATCTGTTAGTTCAATCTCTAACCTTCTGCTCTCTCTGCTTTTCCTCAGAGTAGCTTTGCCTCGTCTGTTCCTGTTTGGCTGTGACGTCATCCTGGAAAAAAACATCAGCTGTGCTGCTTCTATCAACACCCTTGTTAATAGATGTTGGAGATCGGCCTGTTTTCCAGTGTGGTCCTGTTTCTCTGACCGTGACTGAGTGGATGTGCTCTCTTCGTCCTCTGGCATGGGAGCTGCCTTGGAGCTCGTCTGCCTGGCTGTGTGTTTCCTGGACGGGGCCGCCTTTTACAGCTGCTTTTTGTATCTCTGCTTCTGTCTGCTTGAACCCCAGTCGGCCTCGGCAGATGGCCGCTCACACTGAGCCTGGTTCTGCTGGAGGTTTCTTCCTGTTAAAAGGGAGTTTTTCCTCTCCACTGTCGCTACAAGCATGCTTAGTGTGGGGGATTGTATTTGAGTCAATGAGTCAATGCAATCAACTGGTTTTCCTTAGATAGAAAACTTTGTATCAATTTGACTGTATGATCTGGTTGATCTGTAAAGTGCCTTGAGATGACATGTGTTGTGAATTTGGCGCTATATAAATAAACTGAATTCAATTGAATAGAATGGGAGGCAGATCTTTTAGTTATCAGGCTCCTCTCCTGTGGAACCAACTACCAGTTTTAGTCCGTGAGGCAGACACCCTGTCTACTTTTAAGGCTAGGCTTAAAACTTTCCTTTTTGATAAAGCTTCTAGTTAGAGTGGCTCAGGTTATCCTGAGCTATCTCTATAGTTCTGCTGCTATAGGCTTAGACTGCTGGAGGACATAGGGACCCCTTTTTCATCGTTCTGCTTCATTCTATCTCTTTTCTCCCACTCTGCAGAATCTGTTAGTTCAATCTCTAACGTTCTGCTCTCTCTGCTTTTTCTCATAGTAGCTTCATCTGGTCTGTTCCTGTTTGGCTGTGACTCCATCCTGGAGAGAAATATCAGCTGTGCTGCTGCCATCAACACCTTTGTTTCTAGATGTTGGAGCTTGGCCTGTTTTCCAGTGTAGTCCTGTTTCTCTGACTGTGACTAACTGGATGTGCTCTCTTCATCCTCTGACATGGGAGCTGGCTCGGAGCTCGTCTGCCTGGCTGTGTGTTTCCTGGACGGGGCCGCCTGTGGAGCTGGTTGACAGTTGCCTTTTGTATCTATGCTTCTTTTTCTATGTCTGCTTCTGTCTCCTTGAACCCCAGTGGGCCTCAGCAGATGGCCTCTCACACTGAGCCTGGTTCTGCTGGAGGTTTCTTCCTGTTCAAAGGGAGTTTTTCCTCTCCACTGTCGCTACAAGCATGCTTAGTGTGAGGGATTGCTGAAGAGTCAATGAGTCGATGCAATCATCTGGTTTTCCTTAGATAGAAAACTTTGAATCAGTTTGACTAGAGCAGGGGTCTTCAAGGTTTTCCAGGCCAAGGACCCCCAAACAGATGGCCAGATCGAGCGAGGACCCCCTATTTATATATATTGCATGAAATTGTGTAATATCAAACTGGTCCTATAGTCAGTCTATTTCATATAGTGTCATGTAACGATAGTAATTTCCGCCTGGGATTATTAAAGTCTGATTCTGATTCCTTGTTGATGGGACAGGTGTTGTGAATGAAACGGTGCCCAGCTTGAAAGAGCTCCTGTGAGCATTGATGACTGAAAGACATCTTCTGCCTCCATTTATCTGTTTATTAAGGTGTGTTGAATTCATGTTAATGTGTATTTAAGACATTTCAATTAATGGAAAAAAAAACAATTCCAGGGGGGAATATAAAAAAAGTCTAATCAACCAAAACTTTTGCGACCCCCATGCAGTAGCTCTGAGGACCCCCTAGGGGTCGCGGACCCCCTGTTGAAGACGTCCGGACTAGAGGATCTGGTGAACTGTAAAGTACCTTGATATGACATGATGTGAATTGGTGCTTTTTAAAAAACTGAATAGAATTTAATCTTGTTCTGAATTATGGATTATAAGTCAGATAGTAGAAGTTCTTGGATCTTCTGGGTGTTTCGTCTTCTTTATTCTGACATTGGCAAACCATCTGTGCAGAAATGGGATCAAAACCTGAAGGTGCTTGCAGAGGGCTACGCTGCTAAATGCATCTGGAATCACAACCCAGATCTGGAAGATATAGGAGAAAATCTGTTTGCTGGCACCGGGCCTCTGGACCTCCCATCAGCTCTGGAGAAATGGTTCCTGGGTGAGTCATCTCTACACACCCTTATTTCAGGGTCTGTTTTCTTCTGAACCAGGCAACAACATTGTAAAACCAGTCAGTTTTTTCCATTCCTGGAACCAGAATTGCTGTACCTTAATTGATTCTCTGTGTGCAGAACACCTGAATTATGACTACCAGAACAACAGCTGCGAGGAAGACCAGATGTGTGGACACTACACCCAGGTCACACACCGAGTGCAGACGCCTGTGCTAACTGAACATGGAGCGCATTGTGTCTGTCTAACTGTGTGTGTGTGTGTTCCAGATGGTTTGGGCTGACAGCCACACGGTCGGCTGCGGTTTCCACCTCTGCAATACGATGAGCGGACTGAACTGGGAGAACGTCTCCTTCCTCGTCTGCAACTACTTCCCAGCGTGAGTTGCACACAGATCCACAAAGAGCTGACCTGAACACATGAAGCTCTCTCACAGAATTAGCACCCAAGTTAGATTAGAGATCTCCGGATAATCATCAGAGGCTCAGAAAGCCCTAAGAGGGTTCTGGTAACTAACTCATTCATTTGCATCACCATCAGTTCTGTAAACAAAGATGTTTGAATGAACAACTGAGGATCTGCTGCCTAACAGGCTAATCTAGGTGCAGCTGGTCAAATGCTTTGTGTTGACGTGTGTGAGAACAAGTTGTGCTGCACTTTAAATCCACCAAAGCTTTATTTATATACCAACACACAGTAGCTCTGCAGGTGAGCCTAGTGCTTTGTAACGGGATGTTCCTCATATTTAACAGGTTGAGGAATAAAATCACTCTCAATGAGAACCCATCAGTTGTTTGGCACCTCGTACCTTCCATTCAGCCAGTGGATAATCGGGGCTGTTGACATGAACAAAGTCCCACTGCTCAACCAATTCCTTGAAGTGTTGACTTGTGTCATATCTGGCATTGTCACAGAGAAATGCCAGTTGAGCTTTGTGATCACAGCTTTTTGAGATGCTTTGCAACGTAGATCGATTACAAACCACCCTGAATATGAGTCCAAAAACACCATCTACTGCTGTCCATGCCACTCAAGCATCTTGGGAGCAACTGTGGACCAGAGCAAAACTGGGACTGGGTGTGGCTGTGGCAAGTCTTTATGTTGGTGTGCCGGGGTGCTACTGTTGACTGAGCATGACAGCAGTTACTCTGTTATGTTTCTATTCATTGTTGGCCAATAGACCGCCTTCCTCGCCCTGCACTGATAGACTCGCTGCAGGGAGGGTGGAAAGACAGTTCTGTGTCTCCAAAAAAGGTTAGTAAAAGTTAAAAAACAATCCAATGGAGGTTTTTTTTCCAAGTCTTAAGACATTTCGCTTCCCATCCAGAAAGATTTCTCAATTCACTGTTCTGTATCCTTTAACAATAATGCATCCTTCATTGTCAGCCCGTCTCTATAGCTGAAGGAAGGACTTGTGCTGGACTTGTGCTGTGTGGGCTTGTAGCTCCTGTAGCCTTACATGAACCGTAGCTGAGAGACATTGCCTAAAATGTGTCATTGAGCCAATGCACAGAAGTCTGGGGACCTAACAGGTGTCTGCGAGATGCATGTGCTTGCCCCTCCTGCAGCCCAGTGTAATGTTGTAGGCTTGTAACTGCAGCAGCGTTCTTTGCAGTCATGTGGGAGATGTGTGGATCGGCTTCTTTAAGATTGTTTTTTTTTCAGATTGTAACGAGAGGTTGGTGGTCAGTTTAGATGGCCATTGTTTTCCATAGATAAAGTCTCTGAATTATGTGCAAATACTGCTACTGCCAGCAGCCTTCTCAACCTGAGCATAAGGCACAGCTGGCGCACTGAGCTTTGGGTTAAATGTTCCGTCCTGAGGGCTGTATGGCAGGAACATCTTCAGGGACCGCCACTTTGGTGATTGGTTCTGATCTTTGCAGGATCAGCCTTCGGCCCATTATTTTCTGAGTACAGGACCCACAATAGCAGACCTGGCAAGGCGAAACTTGCACCTGAGAGGGTTTAGTCTGAGTGCTATCTCTAGTGTTTAGTCAAGCACCTTTATAGATTGGCAACAATCTCTGCAGCATCACAACCCCCAATGATGATGACATCCACTATGATGGCAAACAGATATCCTGCAAACAGCCACTCCTTTGAGCTTTGAAAAAACCAAATAGCTGAACTTATGGGAAATGGCATGCAGAGGAATCTGTAGGGGCCACAGGGTGTGATGAGAGTGGTGATCATGGATGACTTGTGATCAAGCTGTATCTGCCAGAATGAGCTCATTGCATCAAGCACTGAGAACTGTGCTGTACCTGACATATGGGCGCCACTTCTTCTACACTGCGCGGCGGGGAGCGGGGTGACTTTAAGGCAGTGTTCCGACCTTTTTGGTTAATGCACAACCTTCTTTCCTGTTAGCTCAAATAAGTGTTACATAGTGGCAAAGAACACAGACAGAAAGATGATGAATCATTCTTTTGATAATTGCACTTCTAAGGGGGGTTGTGATGCAAAATATTTTAACTTGTACTTAAGTTATGTTGTCTTGAAGTAAGGACACTCTTACAGTAAATGGATGCTGTATTGTGAACCGAATCTGCAGTTACTGGCGGAGTTTGATCAGGGCCCCAAGCACATCTACCGAGAACTACCAGAGGGGAGATCTCTGGACCTGATCAGGTGGCAGACTTGGATGCAACAGAACTGAGTGAGGAAGTAAAACAGGAGAAAAGAAAGGATGCAGATTGTGATCTCAAATATAAGTGAAAGAACTACTGAAAGAAGAACTGCCAGGGAGTAGGATGGATGAGCAGCAACTCCTAAAAAATGTTGTGATGGTAAAGTTTTCCATTGATTTTCCATCTTTTCCTGTTCTTCTCACCCATGTGTGCTCCAGTGAGGTTTATGGAGTGAGAAACCTGCCTGCTCTGTCATCATCATTATCACCTAGATGTATTGCAAGCAGAAAACATTGAGTGCAAACCAAAGTAGAGTCCATGCAAATTAACATATACCAGGTTATCTTGCTGGGAAAGGAGAAAATGTGTTTTATTCCACTATTTTTATTCCTACTAAGGATGTTAACAAGTACCACCGCTTCTCTTCGTTTCAATAAAAAATATAAAAGAATAATAAAGAAACAAGTCCTTATAATTTATTTTCAATCTCCAGTGTAACTTTTTTTGTTTAATTAACTCAAGATGGCGAGCTACCTTCTGCTGCCTGTGTGGTCGGATAAATTAACTTGGACTAAACTATCTTTTCTGTAGTAAATTGAGTTTTTTTTGTTAGACACATTTTTTCCCCTTTGGCTTTTTAATGATTAATTGTCTATTAAACAGCTAAAATGTATTCTCCTTTACATTTTCAATTTCAATAGCCTAGGACAGATTGGTTTCATAATTACCAAATATTAATGGATTGGTCTTACTAAAGTTCACTGTTCATTTATTTTTATCCATCCATTTTTTTCAGGTTAGTTTTTTATATTTGGTTTTTATCAGTAATTTGAGATGGTTGCTGCTTTAGAGAATATGAATCATGTTAGTTTCAGTAAATTCATGTTTCAATAATATACAAACTCAACAATTTGGGAACCAACAGTGCCCCCTGGATGACAGCTTAAGCAATGACAAGTTTCTCAGAATTTTAGTGGCTGGAAAAAGCTCATGATGTTTTTATTATTTTGTTTATTGATTCTTTTCACTTCTTGCTGTGAAGTTTTGGGGGAAAAATATTGCCTCATTTCACACAAAACATGTACCAAATCCAGTGGCGGCTGTTGGCGTTTCCTCCAGGGGGCGCTATAAATTCAAAATAGACGTATACCACAAGTCAATCAAACGTATACTAAGTTATCACACCAGTATATTTATATGAATGCAAACATCAAAAAACATTACAAAGACTCTTTATATAAACAAAACATAATGTTTACTGTTTGTCCATAAATCTTGCCCTTCTGATGCTTTGTGATGATAAATCTATGTTTTGTCCAATATTGTGCCACAAACTTAAAAAAATACTGTACCAGTTTAATAATGGAGGAGCTATTAGTCAGCTTCATATTTAAACTGTTTCTCCCCCCTGGTGGGGTGGTATGTGTCATCCTCAAGCTCGGGTCCTCTACCAGAGGCCTGGGAGTTTGAGGGTTCTGCGCAGTATCTTAGCTGTTCCTAGGACTGCGCTCTTCTGGACAGAGACCTCTGATGTTTTACCTGGAATCTGCTGTAGCCACTCTCCCAGTTTGGGGGTCACAGCCCCCAGTGCTCCAATTACCACTGGCACCACTGCTGCTCTCACTTTCCACATCTTTTCTAGCTCCTCCTTCAGTCCTTGGTATTTCTCAAGCTTCTCGTGTTCTTTCTTCTTGATGTTGCTGTCGCTTGGGATTGCCACATCTATCACTACTGCCTTCTTCTGCTGTTTGTCCATCAACACGATGTCTGGTTGGTTATCCATCACCTGTTTGTCAGTCTGGATCTTGAAGTCCCATAGGATCTTAGCTCGGTCATTCTCAACTACCTTAGGAGGTGTCTTCCATTTTGACCTTGGGACTTCCAGCCCATACTCATGGCAGATGTTCCTGTACACTATGACAGCTACCTGGTTGTGGCGTTCCATGTATGCACTTCCTGCCTGCATTTTACACCCTGCTGTTATGTGCTGTATTGTTTCAGAGGCATCTTTGCACAGTCTGCATCGGGGGTCCTGCCTGGTGTGGTAGACCCTGGCCTCTATTGATCTTGTACTGAGTGCCTGTTCTTGTGCTGCCATGATTAGTGCCTCTGTGCTGTCCTTCAGTCCAGCCTTTTCCAGCCACTGGTAGGATTTTTTGATATCAGCCACTTCTTCTATTTGTCTGTGGTATACGCCGTGCAGCGGCTTGTCCCTCCATGATGGTTCCCCTTCCTCTTTCTTGTCCTCACTTTCGGTTTTCTCCTGCCTGAGGTACTCACCGAGCCATTTGTCTTTGGGGGCCATCTTTTTGATGTACTCCTGGATCTTAGTTGTTTCATCCTGGACAGTGGTCTTGACACTCACTAGCCCTCGGCCTCCCTCGCTATGCTTGGTGTACAGTCTCAGAGTGCTGGATTTGGGGTGGAACCCTCCATGCATTGTGAGGAGCTTTCTCGTCTTGATGTCAGTAGCCTCTATCTCCTCCTTTGGCCAGTTTATTATACCAGCGGGGTATCTGATGACTGGTAGGCCATAATCATGGGGAATGTGAACTTGCTGGCCCACAAGACTGATGAGCTGACCGCACTGAACAACCAGCGGTTTTATAGAAGAAGCAGCCTGTTTATCTTCACTGAGACATGGCTAAAGCACATTGTACTGGATGCTAATGTGGACCTGCTGGGATTCACTGTGGTGAGAGCTGACAGACACACTAAGGCCAGCGGGAAATGGAAAGGTGGGGGC